GAACAGTCAATGAAAGAGGGTGTTAAAATGTGAGAGTATGGTATAGACATCCCAAAGCAGAGCAGTATCGAGCAAGTGTTTCTATGCTTTTTCTTATTTTTGTTGGGGTTTTAGTGGATGGCCGGTTAGTGGAAATTGTGTACAAAGATTTGAATTCCAATTATTGTAGCTAAGAAAAAGAAAAGGATAGTACTCCCTAACTAGTAAATTTAAAAAAAGTTGCAATTTCAAGTTCATGTGGTTGTGTGTGATGTACTTTTTATTAATCATGTGAATGGTTCTGTCAGTCTCAGCTGTAGGACCACGAGAAGCTTGGTGGGGTTACAGCCTCGGGCTCTGGCATCTGTGCAGTGGATGCAGCAGTGCATTATTTGCGTAATCAGTAATAATTCACTGGGGAGCCTTAACTGTGCTGTTTCGTACACCTTTTTAGATGTTGATGTTTCGCAGTAATAGATGCTAGCTAGCCCACTGAATCAATGGGCGGCAATAATTTTTGCAATGAGAAAGGCCATCTAGGTGGCCTTTTATGGTTCCCCGGTATCAAGAGGAGAACAATTTATTGCTCCCTGCGCTGTTTGCCTTCCATTTTTTTAGAAACACTGTTTGGAACGCAATTCCAAAAGGCCCCGTTTGCCTTCAAAAAAATTTTGAAACGCTGTTTGGAACGCAATTCCAAAAGGCCCCTTGTATGTATTGAAAAGTCTCGCGCTAAGATGGCGACAAAAAAAAGAAACTACAGATTAATACAATTATTGAGAAGATGCAGAGTAATTTCCTCACTCATCCCTTCACGTGTATGCTTTCCTTTATTATGAGAATATTCAAGCCAAATGAATAGCCATAAAAGTTAGTGTTCTGATTTCTGTAAATTAAACTGGAAAGAGAGTTGCTCCATTATTTGGGTTTTTTAAAGTGTAGTGGTAATTGTTTTTAAAAGTGTTTAATTAATTTTTTAAACTTCCAAATATGCCTCATCATGTATGTCACTAACTAAATTAAAAAAAGACATAGCATGATGGATCAAGGCAAGATTTATAGTAGATATTGATGACACAAAACCAGAAGAATATTAAAAAAAGAACGAATTATCTTATGCAATATCTTTAAAAATAAAACTAAGAGTCATAAAGCTTTTCCAATTCTTTAATCATTTTTATGCAAAATCTATTCTAAATCTTTTTGGTAAAAATAAAGAATTTTACAAGTAAGACAATTGACATTAGTATTTCATAGAAATAAGTTGACCTCATTAATTTCTCGTGTGCTTATGTATATTTCAAATTCTTATAATTAATATATACATTTACTTTTAATAGAATTCATTTATTCATGAATCTACTTAGAGAATTTCAATAAAATAATTTGATGTGATTTTTCACAAGCATATGAAATTGAAAAAATAAAGATGATAATTTACTATTCTAATTCTATTCATGGATATGATTAAATAAGTAACAGTGCCAAGGAAAATAAAAGTAGAATAAAGAATCAATGATAAAATACGAGATAAAAATCAATAACTTAAAACAACACAGAGCATCTAATTTTACATATCTAATCTGTAATAACTCCTTAAACAATGTTAGTTGAGAATAATTATCCATGTTGATAACTGAGATTCCTTAACCTAATCAACAATAGCTCCCATTCATCATTGGAATTACTTTTCGTATAGTAAATATTATCTTCAATGTAAAGAAAAAGAAAAGGATATAAGAGAATATCTCTAGATTATTTTTAAAAAATACACATTGAAATGCCTGCGAGGCTCCTAAAACAATAAAGAAAAATACAAGGACTAAGCAGAAGGAAAAAAATGAAGGAATTTAGAAAATTCGGGTCGCCTCCCAAGAAAAATACAAGCAATGGTGCTTGTGCTTATCAAAATCTCCATCCATATAAAATTTAGATCGGTGTCCATTTACTTTATATTAAAAAAAAGTGAATAAAAGAGTCTCTCTCACTCCGAGTTTCCTATTATGCATGTAGAATATTTTTTTTATTTAAAAATTTATTAAATTTTTTTTTTTAATTTTTCGCAACAGAACTAATAATTATTAAAAAAACCAAACAATAATTAATTTTGTACTTTTAAAAAACAAATATATTTTTAAAATACATAAAAAACAACCAGAAACTCACTCCTAAATATATACTAAATGGAACCACAACAAGAAATTGATTTTTTTTTTTATTATTATAAACTATTTTTTAATGTGCTGATATTACAAATATTTAATAACTCCTTAAACAATGCTAGTTGAGAATAATTATCCATGTTGGTAACTGAGATTCCTTAACCTAGTCAACGACGGCTCCCATTCATCATTGGAATTACTTTTCGCATAGTAAATATTATCTTTAATGTAAAGAAAAAGAAAAGGATATAAGACAATATCTCTAGATTATTTTAAAAAAATACACATTGAAATGCTTGCGAGGCTCCTAAAACAATAAAGAAAAATACAAGGACTAAGCAGAAGGAAAAAAATGAAGGAATTTAGAAAATTCGGGTCGCCTCCCAAGAAAAATACAAGCAATGGTGCTTGTGCTTATCAAAATCTCCATCCATATAAAATTTAGATCGGTGTCCATTTACTTTATATTAAAAAAAAGTGAATAAAAGAGTCTCTCTCACTCCGAGTTTCCTATTATGCATGTAGAATATTTTTTTTATTTAAAAATTTATTAAATTTTTTTTTTTAATTTTTCGCAACAGAACTAATAATTATTAAAAAAACCAAACAATAATTAATTTTGTACTTTTAAAAAACAAATATATTTTTAAAATACATAAAAAACAACCAGAAACTCACTCCTAAATATATACTAAATGGAACCACAACAAGAAATTAAACATTTTTTTTATTATTATAAACTATTTTTTATATTTTTTAATGTGCTGATATTACAAATAAAATTATTTAAATAAAAATATTATTTTAATATAATTCAAAACAAAAAAATACTTCATGAAATAACAACTATCACGAGAACCTAAATATATATTTTCTCTGCCAGCAATCACAAACATTTCAAGTTACTTCAAATTCAAAAAAAGTTGACCCCACTTGGCGCTTGATGGTCCATTTAAGTGTCTTCAATTTTTTTTTTTTAAAAAAACACCAAAATTAATATTACCGTGGATTCTTTTTTACGCTTTTGTCATTTTCAATAATATCTTTATTCTTCCCTAGAAAAAAACTTGGGAAGACATTTGCAAAAACATCGATAAATATGCAAGAGGTATTTTATAGCGAGTTTTAATTTTTTTGAAAAATAATTTATTTTATATTTTTGAATCATTTTAATATGTTAGTAAAAAATTAAATTTAAATAATATATTATTTTAATATTTTTTCAAATAAAAAATATTTTAAAAAATAATAACTACACTCACACGTATATTGTGTACTATATAAGAAACAACTACCTGTAATCTCGAGAATCCTGGAATGGTCCCCACGTTTCGGTCAATATATATAGATTAGTCGAGGGGTTAACTATATCCAACGTCTCTTCAGTGTTGAGTTTTGATTAATTAGGTAATTCTGTAACTAATATGAAATCCCTTTGCCGTGTATTAGTACCTTTTGAGTTCCCTGACCTGAAAGACCGGTAAAACTGATGACTTGTCATGGTGAAAGCGCGACCAATAACAATTTAGCACATTAAAATATTTATTATTGATTTAGGATGGGCCTGTCATTATTTTTCATTATTTTTACTTTGTTAGCTGGCTGTTTATTTTTTTTAACTTTACCATAACAAGGGCTTTTAATTTTTTACTTTATTTTGAAAAAAAATCTTTATTTTCTTTCACCATCAATTTAATTTGTGTATTTTTTATAGCTGCAATTCTCTAATTTAATTTTTCTATGAAAATTTTGATTTTACCTATTCAAGATTTTATAATTTTTTTTCATAAATCTTATTTATTAATGTTTTTTTTTGGATTTTGAAAATAAAATTAAAATTTGCACAGAAAAATAAAAAAATAAGCATAGATTAATATTTTTAATATTTTATTTTTTATTCGAAAAAAATTTAAAAACCCAGAGTGAATAGAAAATCTTGACAATAATTTATACCAATAAATAAATAATTTGAAAAAAAAATATTTTCATATTTTTTCAATAATTTGCAAAAAAAATATTTTCATATTTTTTCAATATATATTTTAAAATTTTTCAATCAATATTTTTTTAATTCTTTTTCAAAAAAGCATCACACTTCTTATGCAACATGTCATCGACTTAATCGATGTTTCATGTTAAAAGATTTAAAATATTAATATAATAAACAGTAGAGAGAAAACTTATATTCCATTTCATTTTGAATTTTAAAAATACTTTTAATTTTTTTTAATTTTCTCTTTTTTTCAAAATAAGTTTTTAAGTATTTTCAAATCGTTTTGATTTAATATACTAATATCAAAAATAATTTTTTAAAATAAAAAATATTATCTTAATATATTTTAATATTTTTAACTCATACATTTTTGTTCCGTTAACATATAACTTGAAATGTTAAAAATACAGCACACTTCGATACTTTGTTAATTTATAGTAGTAAAAGTATATTTATTTTTGTATTTTAAAAGTGTTTTTTAAAAAATAATTTTTTAATTAGTTTTACTTTAAATTATTATTTTAGTATTTTCAAGTTATTTTAATATAAAAAATAAAATATATTATTTTAATTAAAATATTTTAAAAAATAACCATTACTATCTTAAAATCACTAAAAATTAGTCTGTAATTTTCTGAACGACACATACGACAACATTTCGTACCCCCACAGAATTTCATTTCACCCGTCCAAGAAAAGCAAAACCTCACTCGGACTCCAAGGCCCAACCCAAGGCCAGAACATGTCGCAGCTGCCAGTCAAATGGCGTTAACATCAGGGAAGGAAGCAAGATACCCACATGTCCAAAACAGCAGTGTTTGACGTGTCATCTCAAAATACTCTTTTAAATAAATATTTAATAAGAAATTTCTCCTCCTCCTTTTATTTATTTTTGGACTTTAACTGTAGAGCACCTGTTAGGGCGGGAACCCAAAACTTCACCCATAAGAAATGCCTGTAAGTCTTCTCTCTCTTCTTCTAGGGTTTCTCTTTCAAAATATAATTTCAAAATTTTCACCTAGGCGTTTTGAATTTCACTAATTGGTGATCTCACAGGAGCCCAAGATGAATATGCGGAAAGGCTCAAAAGTATGGGCCGAAGACAAGAATTTGGCATGGGTTGCTGCTGAAGTAACGGATTTCTTGGCCAAAAAAGTGCAAATCCTTACTGTTACTGGAAAACAGGTGAAATCTTGGAGTTTTTATGGTGCTTTTGGTTGTTTGTTGAGTGGATTTTGTCTTGTTTTTCAAGTTTTTGTTTTTGGTGGTGTAGGTTTTGACTGTGCCTGAGAAATTGTGTCCGAGAGATGCAGATGAAGAGGAGGAGCATGGAGGTGTTGATGATATGACTAAATTGACTTACTTGAACGAGCCTGGAGTGCTTTATAATCTTCAAAGAAGATATGCTCTTAATGATATTTATGTATGGACTTCACAATCCGTACCTTTTGTTTTTTTTTTGTTTTTTGTTAACAAGTGTCTCTTTTTTGCGTGTTGAATGAATGTATTTCGTCAAATATGGTACATTGTAAGATTAATCATGGTGTTTTTTGAGTAAGCTTTGTTGTTAGTTGTGGTTTTGTGAATGTTTGAATTTTAGGTATTTTAAGTTAATGTGGTATAGAGGGTACTTTTTTTGTCAAGTGTATTTAAAATTTGTGAAATTAGGTGCCTGAATTATGAGCTGGCACGTGACATGTTGGGTTAAGCGTTTTTGGTATGAGCAGCTCTTTGTTAAGGTGCTGCTAACTAATGATCAATTTGAGTGCTTTGTGTTTTTTGGCTAATCAAATCAACAAAATAAATTTGTTCAATTCTTGAATTAATTTCTCATTAGGCATGTGGCGCCGTCCTTTTGGTATTGAGATCAATGTATGTAAATGGATAAAGTGATGCTTAATATGCATTTAGGTGATTTTTTTGGCCCATTTAACTATGCTTTTATGTTGTGGACCATATTGATGAATAAGATCTTTTCTTAGCTGGGCGTCATTTAATCAGTCTATGATTTAATACCGAAACACTTTAATCTAAGTTATTGTTTGTTTGTGATGATATTTATGTGACATACTCTGCATTTTGTCTTTGATAGACGTACACGGGAAGCATTTTAATAGCGGTTAATCCATTCACCAAGCTTCCTCATCTGTACAACGTGCATATGATGGAGCAATATAAGGGAGCTCCATTCGGTGAGCTAAGTCCCCATGTTTTTGCCGTGGCAGATGCATCATACAGGTATGTTGTATTTAGGATGTTTTCTTGAAAATTGAGAGCTGATTTGAGATATAAATCACTATCATATAAAGGTATTTAGTGGTTTCTGTTGGGTTTAAACTCCAGAGCTATGATGAGTGAAGGTCGAAGCCAATCTATACTGGTTAGTGGAGAAAGTGGGGCTGGGAAAACTGAGACAACAAAATTGATTATGCAATATCTCACTTTTGTTGGTGGCCGAGCTGCTGGTGACGACAGAACAGTTGAGCAGCAAGTCCTTGAAGTAAGTCTTACACATCCTTTCCTCTATTCTTTGTCCCATTTGCTGCTAGCCCCTATCTTTAAAGAAGAGAGTGCGTATACTCACTGTAAAATTATAAATTTACTTTTCGGTTAAGTTTCTCAGTCTATATATGTATGTACCCCATATTCATCTATCTGCTGTTAGTTTTTTCCCCTTTTGCTGGAGAAACATTAACTGGTCGTTGACTTGTCTTTAACTTGCTATAAGGTGATTGTTGAAATCTGTCTAGGCAATATTTTTTCATCTCTGTGTCTTTTGTCGAGGCTGATGCATCTTTTTCATAATTTAGTCAAATCCACTCTTGGAGGCATTTGGTAATGCAAGGACTGTTAGAAATGACAACTCAAGGTGAGAGGGAGTTTGTTTTCCAAATATACTCTGCTTTTACCATTCTGTAGTTCTAATTGCTAACCTGTATCTGCTGCCAGCTGTTCCTTTTCTTCCATGCTCCAATAAATAAATGTTCTGTACATGATGCTTCAACTGAAGAACATCAACTCGGCACAACATGGTGATGCATTGTATTTTTTCTCATCATCCATGGTACCATTTTTAATGAATGAGCTTGTAAACAAAATTTTGAAAAAAGAAAAGAAAACACAGCATGTGAAATGCAGACATGGGGAGAAAGCTTTAGGATAATGAAACTGAGTCTTAGCTGAATACAACCATGAAGGGAAAAAAATATTGAAGGATTGGAGATAGTTTGCATCAAATAAAGTCTTATTCAGGAAGAAATTTGATTAATTTCCACTATTGGTTTTATATGATTGGATTTTTGATTACCATATCTTATATCTATTCTTATACAACTTGTCAACCTGGCAATCCAAATTGTCCATTGAATATATTTCCTTCTTTCTTAAAATCTCATTCTTTGTCTTGACAGTCGCTTTGGCAAGTTCGTTGAGATCCAGTTTGATGCAACTGGGAGGATATCCGGTGCTGCGATTAGAACTTACCTTCTGGAACGCTCTCGTGTAGTTCAAATAACAGATCCTGAAAGGAATTATCACTGTTTTTATCAATTGTGTGCATCTGAGAGAGTATGCTCTCTTCCTTTCCTATCCTGTATTTTCTGTTTAGCGTTGTGTGGTGATGTTCTTACTGGCTGAGTCTTTGTGAGTTGTGTTTGCAATATGGTGTTTTGTCTTGATGGTGTTTTTATTTTCTAATGGAATTTTAAAGCTTACTGATATGTCTAGGATGCAGAGAAGTACAAACTGGATAACCCACATCATTTCCATTACTTAAATCAAAGTAAGACATATGAGTTAGATGGGGTGAGCAACGCAGAAGAATACATAAAGACAAGGAGGGCAATGGATATTGTTGGTATAAGCAATGAAGATCAGGTTTAAGCACCATAGAATGACTTAGTTCTTGATGTGTGTTTCTTGCTTTTTCTTGGATTATCTTGTTGGGATGCTATCATACTCATTTTGTGTTTTCCATGTTATTATTAGGAAGCTATATTTCGCATCTTGGCTGCAATTTTGCATCTTGGGAATATTGAATTTTCTCCTGGCAAGGAACATGATTCTTCTACTGTAAAGGATGAAAAATCTAGCTTTCACATGCAAATGGCGGCTGATCTTTTTATGTAGGTGATTGCATTAATTGCTTGGGATTTTTTTTTGTTTGAACAATCTTTGACATTCTATCAGCATTGAATCAGTTCTCTTATTTTTGTTTAAGTTTGGAAGTGAGCAAGCTAAATTTCTCATATTTTGTTTCTGTGTATTTGGACTTGAAAGTGCTAGATAAAATTGTTTTTCACTATAGCGATAGAGAGGAAAAAACTGAACTTTTAAAAATGGAACATAGTCAAAAAATATTGGAACTATTCCTCTTATGAATTTTGTTTCATTAATCTATAACACATTTATTCTGTGGAGCTTTGCTTTAATGGGATTTAAAATATTGAAAAAACTATCAACTTTAGAATAATCATGGGGGGATGAGTACAAGTTGTCCGTACTGAGTTTGGCAGTGGACATTCCTGCCTTTAATGATTTTTAATTGCTCATTGGCTTTTAATTGAAGCTACTAAATTATTTTTTTTAATCAGGTGTGATGCAAACCTCTTGTTTGCAACATTGTGTACTCGTACAATTCAAACCCGTGAAGGAAATATTATAAAAGCTCTTGACTGTAATGCCGCTGTTGCTAGTCGAGATGCCCTGGCAAAGACTGTTTATGCTAGGCTGTTTGATTGGTATGCCTATTGTCACTGTGCAGAGAATAATTTCTTTATATGTTTTCCATAGTTTTCATCATTTAAACTTGTTTGGTTTTGATGTTTCTTTAGGCTTGTTGAGAAGATTAATAGGTCTGTCGGGCAAGATCCAACTTCCCTGATACAAGTTGGAGTATTGGACATTTATGGCTTTGAATGCTTCAAATATAATAGGTAATATCTCATAAATGCATTATCCTGTTTCAATTGTGTTTTTCAGACCATTGCTATATCTTAAGGTGTAATCTTATAGGAAAATTATTTATTGAGGTTCTCATGTTGCCTTGAACTTGCTTGGTGTTTGGAAGTTATTTATATTCATGATTTTCACACGCAGTCAATGACTCAACTGTTCTAAAGAATGTGTTGTGGAATGCTGTGTGTGTGTATTGTAAGTGATTAACTTTGTATTGTGTGTCACCTTTACTGGCAGTTACCTTATTAGATTGTCACTTCAAAAGATTTTTCTAATGTTGTTTTAACATTCTTTCTAATGCCTTTTTGCATTTTGCATCTCCATTGCAATATTATTGGCCTTGAGTCATGTCATTTTTTCCTCTGCACTAATTTGACTTCTCTATTGTCATATACTGTTTTCAGCAGCAATGCTTTTGTTTTCAACTTATGTCTACTGAGTGATTAATGTTTTCTGTTCTGCAGTTTTGAGCAGTTTTGCATTAACTTTGCAAATGAAAAACTTCAGCAACATTTCAATGAGGTGTGCAATGTTGTCTTTTTGTGATGTGATGACATTCACTAAATTTATGCTGTCTCATTTCCTTCTTCCCTCTGTTTCAGCATGTGTTCAAGATGGAGCAAGAGGAATATAGAAAAGAAGAAATTAATTGGAGCTACATTGAATTTATTGACAATCAGGATGTTCTGGATTTAATTGAAAAGGTTTTTCATCTGTTTCCCCTCTGAAAATATTGTTTTAGTTAGGCTAATCTGTTATTTCCCGAATTTGTATGCAGTTTTCTGCTGATTTCTCATTCCCCTTCTTACTGATAACAATACTTTGGACAAACAAATTTAGTCCATGTTTCTCTTTTATATGATGCATTTAATGATACTTGATGCCATGCTTGCTATTGAAGATGCTACAAAGACAAAGAATGGCTCAGTAGTGAGTGTTTGATGTTCTACCATTTTTGTGATTTAGCTAGATAATTACTATAGCATCTGCCAGAGATATTAGGATTGTGGGAAAGGACTTCTTTCACGAACAGATATTATGTGCTGCAATAAATTTTCGCATGTAATTATGTTTTTTGATGAATTTAGATTAGCTTATATGTACACAATATTGGCATTTAAATTTATATCATTTGACTTGTAATATCCGAGCATATCCTTGTAGGGATCTACCCCTCCTCTATTTCTCTATCTCTCTCTTTCTTGTGCTGAAAAAATTGAAGGAAATTGAATGTTTGCTGGGGAATATGTTTCATGTCTGTAGTTCAAGTTTTCTTTTCTTTTCTGTTTCTAGATATGCCACCGATTGATTTCTGTTAGTCTTGACTTATGTTATTGTGTACCTGTTTGCAGAAACCTATTGGAATAATTGCTCTTTTGGATGAAGCTTGGTACTGTTTGAGTTCTTCCCTATAAATTGGTGCGTTTTCTATATGAAATTGCTCAAGTGTAGTTGATTTCTTTTTTTTGCAGCATGTTCCCAAAATCAACACACGAAACTTTTACAACCAAGCTATTTCAGAATTTCCGGGCCCACCCAAGGCTGGAAAAGGCAAAATTTTCAGAAACGGATTTTACCGTTTCACATTATGCTGGCAAGGCATGTTATTCGTGACTATATTACTTTAAATAGAACTTGCAAAGTGAACTTTTACAAAGAACTGTTTATTTTTCTGCAGGTTACTTATCAAACAGACACCTTTTTAGATAAAAATCGTGATTATGTTGTTGTAGAACATTGCAATCTCATGTTGTCTTCGAAATGTCACTTTGTTGCTGGTCTTTTCCCTTCGCCTCCTGAGGAATCTTCAAGATCGTCTTACAAGTTTTCATCTGTGGCCTCAAGATTTAAGGTAGAAAACTTTTACCTTTCTTCCATTATAATTGAGGTATCAGTTTGGTTGGTTGTTTGCAGAATAGACAATAACAAGGAGCAGTGAAAGAAGAAACAACTCTCATACCACTTCGACTGTTGACTTTATATTAAGATGCTTTAAGCAAATTAATGATAATAGCCATGATGATTTTTTTTTTTTTGAATATAACCCTTGGGTTGAGTGAACCATAAGGCTTCATGTATGGTTTTATAGAACAAGGCATTGTCCCTTTCAATGGTGAATTTTTTTTCTAGTTTATGCTATGGTATCAACATTTTTTGTTGATATGGATCCGTTATGCATGCTAAGCAGTTAAAATTGTGTTGGGTGGATTGCTAAACCACCAAAAGGAGGGAGGGAGAGAGAGCAATGTAATCTGAGGAAGAAGCTTATCACTTCCCCTTCTTTGTTCTTTGATTGTTTTGGATTCATTCCTCTATTTCTCTTCTTAATAGTTTTGGAGTGGGAATGATGTCAAGATTTTTTTTTCACTGCTGTTTTTCTTTCTTTTTTTTTCCATTAGGTTTCAGCTTGCACATTAATGCTTGATTTGCTGTTTATAACTTGTTAATGTTGATGCTGTAAATAATTTTATTTTTTGGTTTGCAGCAACAACTTCAGGCTCTTATGGAGACCCTTAATTCAACAGAGCCTCATTATATACGTTGCGTGAAGCCGAACTCTATGAACCGACCTCAGAAATTTGAGAATTCAAGCATATTACATCAACTTCGCTGTGGGGTTAGTAGATCGTAATTGTGTTTATGTTGCTTGTTTAACATCATTTCTTATGCTCACTTGAGTTTCTGCAATTGTATATGATCATTATCCATGATTCTTATGAGATAAGAGTCTTATTTTTTATTTTTTTATTTGATCTTTTTTGTTTAAATGGATGGCTTGTGTTCCTTAGATTTTAACTGCACTCATTGTTAGAATTTTCTAGTTTGTTTTTTCCCCTCATTTGTGGCTGATAAAGTGACTGCTCGCAAGTGTACCTGCTAAATATTGTTGAGCTGTCATGATCTTGGAATTTTCAGCAGACATGTTCATTGTTTCTTGTTGAATTCTCGTGAGAGCAATGAAGGAATTAAACTTGAATATTTTCTACAAAAATACTGAAATATTTTTAAGTATTGGTTGATGATAGAACAAAGGTAAAATGAAGACCCACCAACTATGAAATGTTTGTAAGAGATCCTTCCATGTATTAAAAGTTTGATTTACACCCCTCCATCGCAGAAGCTTACTGTATTTTAGATCCTTCTGTCAAAATTAGCCTATTTTTCATCCAATAACAAATGATAACATGTCAATTGTACTCTCTATTTCTAGACAAACACACACACAGATGAGCAAAAATACCAGATTTTACACTTTCTCAATAATTGTTTTTTTATAAAATGAAAATTATATTGGTTTTGGAAAGGTACACTTTTTTTGTGCCCACAATAACATAAAACATAATGGAGGTTGTGATAGTAAAAGACCATTGTATTCTTTTTTTCCTAACAGTATGAATCCTAATGATAATACAACATAATTTAGAAAAAGATTCTTATTGTTGATCCCAACCAGTATGAGACAAAAACTTGCTCAAAATCTTGTCCTTGGATTATAATTGTAAAATTATAAATTAGAAATCCAGATGGAATGTTCAAATACTAATTGTCTGGTGGAGAGTATAAATCAAAATTTTAAAACGTTGAGGTTTATCTGTAAAAACCTCACACTCACAAAGATGTGCATAAGCTTTTACCTACAAAAGAATTATAGTTCAGCTGCTCAAAAGTTGACTTGTATACAATGTGCACCTTGTACTCACAAAGTGGTACTGTGAGCATAAGGCGTGAGATCCAGTTTACAAGGAATGGCTCTGGGAGTGTACAAAGTCCAATTCAACTCATGCAAGTCTAGACATGAGTGTTAGATCTATTACTTAGTCCACACAAGAAAAGCTGTGGGGAAGATGATGAGTATAATTTGGTCCAAATGACACTTGTTAAAGGACTATAGGATGTATGGTTGAATCCAGTGAAGAATGGCCCTAAGTGAGACAAGGATGGCCGGGGTTGTAAGATGCATGTTCTAGATTACATGAGATTGGCCAATGTATAACCTAATTCAAGCAACAATAACCATGTGATTGTAGATATAATGATTAGTTCAAGCACCTTTTATGATACAATAGTTTACCAGCTAGTTGGATATGGGAGTTTAAGGTTTTTGATCCAGGCTTTAGAAAATAGTTGGTGAAGTGTCAGAAACTAAGATGCATGGAGTAATCATTGATATGTGGTGATAATCCATGTTAGAATGCTTGTTTAAGTATAAGATACTAGTGAACATAAGAGAGGCCGTGAGAGTGTAAAATGTCATTGCCTAGAGGCCATAGCCTACACCAAATTGTCCAGAGGAGTGATGTTTATGACATGGTACTTATGAGGATGTATAATGAGTATGTCCAAGTCAACTCAAGTGTGGTCCTAGGGCATAAGATGTATGGCCACTCTACGTAGGAATATTCTGGTAGAGGGGGTTATGCGGCTGAGCTCAGAGAAGAGTGGTCATATTTCCTAGTTTAAATGTAATGCAGTCTATATCATTCAAAAGTCGTCCATGATAGTTTATTTTGTCTATGATTTGTCATTTGTTTCTCATAGAGTGATCAAATTGTCTCTAATGCAATGTGTCAAAAGCATTGCATAGCCATAAAAACCTGACCGTCTTACTGAAGTAACTGCCATTGAGTTTAGACTGATATTGGTGTGGTGACTTGCATCACATGAATAGTAAACAGTGAGTACTGTAAAAAAATGTTTCACCAGCATACAGTGTTATAGGATACCAGAATGCTATGAGCACATCATGCTACTATGACCTGGTCTTGTCTTGAATAGATGGTGATGACAAAATTCATGTCATGGTTGCTTATTGTTCATGTAGACAAGCAGATGTTTCTTTAATTTTCTTTCATTCACTGTGTGCAATTTTGTTCTTGCACATATCCATTTATTCTAGATTTTTATCCCTCATTGTTAGACTGGCTTGAGCTATGCATTTTGTTCTTGCGCATATCCATTTATTCTAGATTTTTATCCCACACTGCATGCTGAAAGAGGTGTACCGCTTCTTTTAAATATAAATTTTAGCAAATTAGGTTGATATAATTATTATTAAATTTTGGGACAGGGTGTGCTGGAAGCTGTTCGGATAAGTCTTGCAGGTTATCCCACTCGAAGAAGCTACACAGAGTTTGTGGATCGATTTGGACTATTAGCTCCTGAATTTGATGGAAGGTGTTGTTCTTAATACCACTGCTTTTTCTTGGAAAATCTTTACCAATGATTCTGAAGGATGTAGTTTTTTGTTACTATGAATGAGTGGTGGAGTTATTTGTTATTATGTTTTAATTTTTTCATGTTTCCTTCACAAAAAGGGCAATAGATAATGGTTAGAGACATAAATTTTTAGGATGATCAGTTGTGTGCGTGCATGCATGAATGCTTGTTTGTGTCTCACAAGTGATCTTGAGAAAATTTGATTTGTTTTTCCACTGCACTGTTTTCTCTACCATTTTTTCTTAACAGTTTGTTTGCTGATAACTTTTTTTTTTCCTTTTGCATTTCTAATGTACCAAGAAGTTCTACTTTTACTCAGTTGCAGTTATGATGAAAAAACTTGGACGGAGAAAATTCTGCACAAGTTAAAGCTCGACAATTTTCAGGTACTGCTGTTTAAGGATTGGGCATCAAGCTTTGTAATATCATTAACGTTTTGCTTATTCTGTCATTGTTTCGAGTTCTCTGTTTTTAAATTTATTTTTGTTTGCAGCTAGGTAGGACCAAAGTGTTTCTTAGGGCTGGTCAGATTGGCATTTTAGACCTGCGACGAGCTGAGGTTCTGGATGGTGCTGCAAAGCGTATTCAGCGTCAATTGCACACATTTATTGCACGCCGAGATTTTTTCTCAACACGTGCTGCTGCGTTTGCAATTCAATCATATTGCAGAGGTTTGCTTTTACTTGCTGCATTTGACCTAGTCTTATTTATAATGTGATTCTTTCTCTTACAAATTAGCATTCCCTTCTCCACTCTTCCCAACATAGCTCGTCATTATTTGTGTGACTTTGAAAATGTTATGTTGTATCAATTAGTGTAGGCTTAAAAGGCTTGTTTCAGTTTCATAAATGTTTACAGGGTCTTATCTGTTTGATTTTATATGAGGGCTGTGTCTAGGATAAAGCCCATAGTTACAACTAGTGCCACTACCATGCTTTGTCTTGTCATTCCAGCAGCCTTGCTATTTCTATCAACTAATTTTCTATGCCAATTGCCTACTGCATTTATATATATCTAGCGCCAAAACTCTTTTTTGCAGCTCTACTAACTTTCCAATCACTGTAGTTGCCCTTACCTTTATGTGTTTGTTAATGGTTTATCTTTAATTAAACCACATTTTATCAGATGGACATTTCCCTGCATCTCTATTTCTATTTTATTTTGGTTTAGCTCTCTGGGGTTGCTATATAAGATATATTTGTAGGATGCCTTGCACGAAAAATGTTTGCTGCAAAACGAGAGAGAGCAGCTGCCGTTTCCATACAGAAGTATGTCCGCAAGTGGCTATTAAGGCGTGCTTATTTGAAACTGCTCTCAGCTGCTATTTTCATGCAGTCAAACATACATGGTTTCCTGACTCGCAAAAGATTTCTGCAAGAAAAGAAGCAGAGAGCTGTCACCCTAATTCAGGTAAATTAGCCAAGTGTAGAATTGTGTTTGCCTTTTTCTAATATTTTAATGGTGATGTTTTGCATATTTGTGTACTAAATAATAAGGCCAAATCATTAGTCATATCAGTGGGAATTAAAGCGAATTTATTTTAGTTACAAAACTTTGCAAGGATGTTTATGTAATGCATAAAATGCCTAAAATTCACCTCACCACTTGTTTTGAGTGATGGATATATCAGATGTCCCTATGCTCAGTTTTGTTGCAAATATTTTATTTCATTTGCCAGTGAAGTGTTAAATTAGTTTCTGATTGCTAGTTAAATTTTTTTTTTTTTAATGTGTGATAGCTCTCTATGGCTATAGCTAAAATGTTATGGAAAAGTTGGGGTATTGTCTCCTGAGAGTGTTACAGGGCTTTGTGTGATTTTTATTGGGACCTTGAATTAGTTATCTGCAGTCATTTTCACTGTCATGGCCAATGCCTTTGGGGGTTGTTTTCCACATGGCTACACTCATCTGATTTCCTGTTTTTATTTTATAAAATAAATTGCTTAGGCTCGTTGGAAGATTTACAAGTTCCGCTCAGCTTTGCGACATCGCCAGGCTTCTATCATAGCAATACAGTGTCGTTGGAGGCAAAAGCTGGCAAAAAGAGAGCTCCGAAGGCTTAGACAAGTGGGAAATCAATATTGTTTGCATTTCTATTTGAGTTTAGCTTTTCCTCATTTATTTACTGTCTCTTTGTTTATTACCATGCAGGAGGCTAATGAAGCGGGTGCCTTGCGTTTAGCTAAGACTAAACTTGAGAAGCAGTTAGAAGATCTCACATGGCGGTTGCATCTAGAAAAAAGATTGCGGGTATTGATTTTTCTTGTGATGTTCTTTTGGTGCTGTTATTAAACTCTTTTGAATGCATTTGAATAGTTATACATCATTAAACGTACATGTAGACATAAATTTTATGTCCTTTTCATTCTTCAAAAGAAAAAAAATACAGTCTATTCCTTGTTTCCCTGTCTCCTGTCTTTGTGTCTTGACTCCAAATTAACGAATATGAAAGTTTTCTATAAATAAAGGGCTGAGTTAATTACTGATTCAAGCTTTCACTTGTTTCTAAATATGGCACAATTTATTTTTCAGCAGATTTGATTGGCTAGTTGCTATGATTGTTTCAACTAAATCTTGCAATGCTCATTTACTGAACTTCTTATAACTTTGTGTTTGTTTTGAATATCCTGTATCTGGAACACAGGTATCAAATGATGAGGCTAAATCAGTTGAAATTTCCAAGCTTCGAAATACTGTGTCATCTATGAGCCTTGAGTTAGATGCAGCTAAGTTCGCTACTATCAATGAATGCAACAAAAATGCAGTATTGCTAAAACAATTAGAATTGACAGTGAATGAAAAATCAGCTTTGGAAAGAGAACTTGTAGTGATGGCTGAACTGAGAAAAGAAAATGCTTTACTGAAGGTGATTGACAAGTTTTTGCATATATGCAAATTTATTTGTTTATTAATTGTGGCTTTGATTGGCCATGCTTGCTGGGTTCCCATTGCTCTTTTATTTTGGTTCCACATATTGTAAGAATAAACTTTTATTATAAAACATTCAGTTGTCTTAAAATTAGGTATCCTCTTTTTCTTAGAAATGTTTAGAAAGCTTTTCCGGGACTTACTGGAAGTATATACATGTTTTCAACATCATGGATTAGAAATTTTGGATGAAAATACCATCAGAATATCTTGTGTAAATGAGTTACAATAGCTAATTTTTGTCAATGAAGCAACTTACTTGGCAGAAGTATAAATCGGTATTGGTGATATTTACATCATAGTAGTCTCCACTAGTAAATAACCAAGCTCATTTTTATTAACAAGATTTTGATCAAGGTGTAAGCTGTTTGAATATATTTTACATTTTCTTTGCTTGCCTAATCTAAATTGAATGCATGTGGTTAAAGTTTAATGGCTAATATGATTTTAGGATTCATGAAGGAAACTTCATGCATATTGAGTTCAATTCTAATGGCTATGACTATAATGTTTTTAGGATTCATGATGGAAACTTTATGTATATTAATGCAATTTTAATGGCTACGATATTCTTTGGAGTGTTTGATATGATGAATTGTTTGCTTGTTTCACTTTGAATAAATTTTGAAAGGGGGAGCACCATCTCCTTCTCATTGTTTCACCTTTTGGTTTCCCATGGTCCCATCTGCTTTACTGTGGAATGTTTTCTAATGAAAACATTTGTTGCATTTACAGAGTTCTTTGGATGCCTTGGAAAAGAAAAACTCTGCTATTGAGCTTGAGCTTATTAAAGCTCAAAAGAATGGTAACGATACCACTATGAAGTTGCAGGAAATTGAAGAGAAATGTTCTCAGTTTCAACAAACTGTTCGAAGGTACTCATCAGTTGAAAATAACAATATCAGCCACCCTTTAATTTTGTAAACAGCAACATCAACTTGATCAATCTTCTCATGCATTGTTTATTCTTCTGAATTTACTGGAGTTTGTTGCTGGTGTTGAAGGCACAAATTTGAGAATGTTGATTGGTATTTGCATCAAAGACTTGATTTTCAGAACAGTTTGAATTGGGAGTGTCTATAATTTTTTGCATATTTATGCTTTGAGGAAACAGATGGTTGTTTCATAAATTGGTTATTTTGCCTCTTTAAGGTTTCCACCTGCATAAATGTAATCCATCTGAACCTTACTGTGGATTATTGTTGCAGTGGTTTTTCACTTTTTCCAAGTTGGGGGGTGGGGGGTGGGGTTATAAAGCTGTTCTTGTAATGAACTCTTATACCCTGTTATCTTTGTGCATGATGTTTGCCATATTACAGTCTGGAGGAGAAGCTTTCTCATTTGGAAGATGAGAATCACGTCCTTCGACAAAAAGCTTTGACCCCATCCTTGAAGAGCAATCGCCCTGGTTTTGTGAGGGCATTTTCTGAAGTAAGTTTTCGCAAACACAATTCCATCCTTATCTCCCATAAGAAAAAAAAAAAAAATCATTCTCCCATATATACCTGAACATTGGATGCATGCTTGGTTTTATTGCTTGGTTTCTGATTAAAGACTTTAGTTTTAGGTCGCGGTACTAGATATGTATTCTCCATTTCCCTAGATATAGGGAGAATTTTCTGCTGTAATGCTATTTGTTTGTTGACAAAACAAAAATTTCATGGGTGACAGTGCTCACTGATTCTGTTGTTTTGTTAACGAAACAGAAATACTCTAGTGCGCTAGCTCTTGCCCGCTCTGAGCAGAAGTCTGCATTTGTAAGATATTTTTTCTTAAATATTTGGAGTTAATGTAGTTGTGAACCATAGTATGTTTTTCAAGGACATTGTTTTCTCTCCAGGAATCTCCTACACCATCAAAACTTATTGTGCCTTCCTTGCATGGTTTATCAGAATCACGTCGATCGAAGTTTACAGCTGAACGTCACCAGGTTTCTTTCCTTGTTTGTGAAGCCTTCAGTTCTAAGAAGTGAATTTTCATTTACATACAGGAGAACTATGAATTCCTCTCGAAATGATATCACCTAAGAAGTGAATTTTCTTTGACATACAGGAGAACTATGAATTCCTCTCAAAATGCATCAAAGAAGATTTGGGTTTTATTGATGGCAAACCACTAGCAGCTTGTATCATATACAGATGTCTTCTTCACTGGCATGCCTTTGAATCTGAGCGCACAGCCATTTTTGACTATGTTATTGAAGGAATAAATGAAGTTCTGAAGGTTAGTAACACGCTTCTGTCTTCAAACAACTGTCCTGAAAACTCTTTTTTTTTTTTGTAAAAGAAATTGTTCTTTTTGCATCAAGTGATGTTGCTCAACCTGATAATGCGTCTGGGTAATGAGCCTTGGTTCTTCTTCTTTCCTCGCATTTTACTTTACTCTCTCTTGTCTGTAATTATTTGTTACTCTCTGATATCTCAACATTGCAAGGAAATATTCAGAACTTTCTAGTAACTCATTGGTTACAAAAAATGTAAATTTCAGTTTCCAAACCCAGCTTTCTTTTCCTTTTTTAACCACCCACTCTAAAAAACATCTCTGTACAATTTATTAATGTTTTGACTTGAAAACTTTGTTTTGGACAAAACACCATGGGGCGCTCCAAAATCTAAATTTTAGTGTATCTTACATATTTTTCTTCCCTGAGAGTCTGACCGTGAATTGTTTTTCTAGGATACAATATATACATCTATAAACTTATCCTGTCACGACATTTTCAGGTTGGGGATGAGAACATTACGTTACCATATTGGCTGTCAAATGCCTCAGCACTACTTTGCCTTCTCCAAAGGAACTTAAGGTCAAATGGCTTTTTGACTGCAGCTGTTCCATCTTCTACATCTTCTGGATTATCAGGGAGGGTCATTCATGTGAGTTTGTGTAAAATTGAATTTTTTTTTTGTTGTTTGCAGAATGCATACATGTAATACATTCTTTCAAGGCTTTTTTATGGTACTCTTGTGCAGATTAAAGGAGAACGTATGAAAGGCATTCTAATCCTGCTGAATATCTTTTAAGGGAAATGCCCTAAAACCTCCAAATCAGTACACCACAAGAACACAACAAACACTATACACATGTCCTACACAACTGGACAACGTAGAAACAGATGGCTGGCTTTGTGCCACTCAAAAATCTTAAACTTAAATTACAGGAGAGGGATTTTCCCAATTTAGTTTCTTCTCTGCCTTACAAAAAAAAAAAAAAGAAGTTTATTGGCTGGATATGCAAGAGTTAGAGATTTCCATAGAAATTAGTATTTTTTGTTATTGTAGAAATGCAGCATTCAAGCATTTCCCATGACACAAATCATCATCAATTTTTCTGAATTTACTAGCTGTGAAATTTTATTCCTTGTTTGACTTTAGTCATTTTGTTTATTTTAAATTTATTTTTGATGAATTTGAGTTGAGTCCAGCTGATTTTAGTTTGCTATACTTCCCAGGGTCTTAAATCTCCTTTCAAAATCATGGGATATGAGGATGGTCTGTCACACGTGGAAGCAAGATATCCAGCAATACTATTTAAACAACAACTAACTGCATGTGTGGAGAAGATTTTTGGCTTGATTAGAGACAACTTGAAGAAAGAATTATCACCACTGCTGGGTTTATGTATTCAGGTGAGTTTTAGCAAATCCAGCATGGGCTTACTATGATCAGTTTTATAGTTATCTTTCCCTGTCTTGAGTGCCTAATTGTAATTTTGGATGTAGATTTCATTGCATATACAAAAAATCCGTATTCTAGGTTGCATTCCTATCAAACTGGTTGTTTGAATAATCACTTACTCTTGGTTCCAACAAAGTGCTCTGAATGATGGGTTTTTCAGATGGAGTTTTGACCATGTGAATCATGATAATTGGGAGCATTAACTATTCTAGTGTGGAGTTATCACCCAAAATAATTCATAGTTCATGCTTTTTGGATAATCTTTTTCCCTTTTCAAATTGTTTCCATTAAACAATATTCTTCCCTTCTCTATGGATGGGTGTTCTCAACTGTATATATGCTTTATGCATATTTTCCAGCTGTAATTTTCATAATGTTGACGTAACTGTTTTCATCTTTTGAGCTCTTCTCCAAACCTTTTTCTTTAAGCAAAAAATTATAGTAACATCTATCATTTTACATGCTTGGAAATGTTGTTTCTGTTCTGCCTGCTTTTTTTTTTTGGCTGTTTCTTGAATCTATTTTCAAAGTAATTGATCAGAAATTTATGTTTTGATGACTGCTTGTCAGGCACCCAAATCTGCACGGCATGCTGGGAAATCATCAAGATCACCTGGTGGCATTCCTCAACAAGCAGCTAGTAGCCAGTGGGAGAGCATTATTAAATTTTTGGATTCTCTCATGGACTGTTTACGTGAGAATCATGTATGTTCATTCTTCCCTGTTAATTGATTTTCAAATACGAGGCCCTTGTGCTTGTAATATTCACTTATCATGGAGTCCTTCAGAATGCATTTATCCATGCCAATTGCAAAGTTTTTTCACAGCGTGCATAATTTATCATTTGTATTGTACATGCATCTGCTGAAAATTTCTTTGGATAGATTGACATTCACATGCATCCTTCAACTTTCAGAAAATCTGCTGTCTGATTTTCATTATCTAGGTGCTGAGTCTGTTTGAGTTCTTCCTTTTCTTTTGTTTCTGCTACTGTTTTTTGGTCTACTTTGTTTGTTTTGAGTGCCTTGAATACCCCCAACAAACATCGGAGAGGATTGGTCTCACCTAATAAGCTTCAATTTGGCTTTGTTCCTTATCTTTGTGCTCTAAATTCCCTATCTCTTGATGCTTGCTGGTAAACAAGCAGGCTGTAACTGTGAATTTTAGTTACTTAACAGATATTCTGTGACTGACTCAAAACCATCCATTTAGGTACCATCTTTCTTCATCCGTAAGCTCATCACCCAGGTTTTCTCTTTTGTCAATATATCCCTTTTTAACAGGTGAGTGATCATGATTTGAAAAATTCTTCTGTGTTCATATGACTAGTTTTTGCTTATGTTGCTTAATACAAATTTCTTTCTTAGCCTTCTACTACGACGTGAATGTTGCTCATTTTCAAATGGGGAGTATGTGAAATCTGGTCTAGCAGAACTGGAGAAATGGATAGTGGTTGCAACGGAAGAGGTAAAAATGTCCTTTACCAGCCAAGTAGTTGCCACAGAGGTTAAAATCAACAGTTTTTGTCTGAATCTGTACAAAATGCAGTATGCAGGAACATCTTGGCATGAGCTAAATTATATTAGACAAGCTGTTGGGTTTCTGGTAATTTTTCTACCCTTTTCTTGCTTGACTTGTGGACTGTCAGTTGTTTCTTTTTCTCATGGATAGTGCAATTCTCTTAGGTAATTCATCAGAAGAGAAAAAAGTCTCTTCAAGAAATCATGCAAGATCTGTGTCCAGTATGATCTCACTCACTGCTCTTTTCAATTTTCTGTCCATTCATTGATATGAAGTTGTTTTAAGGCTTAGCGTGTCATGACACTTGGACAGGCATTGACCGTTCGCCAAATCTATCGTATAAGTACCATGTACTGGGATGATAAATATGGCACTCAGAGTGTGTCAAATGAGGCAAGTTTCTGTTTTGGTACCTTTTGTTGTTTGGCTAAATATGTCAAAAATAATGGTCTCATGGTTTTTAAACTTCAATTCATTTGCAGGTGGTTGCCCAAATGAGAGAAATGTTGAACAAGGACAATCAGAATATGACCTCAAACTCTTTCTTGTTGGATGATGACCTCAGGTATGCTGCATTGTCTCCCAACTTGCTTGGTAACAAAAATGGCTGACTGGACTGAATGAAGGTACCAGATGGTCTGCTTGTAAAATCTCTAGGACTTGTGCTAGAGACTTGGGATCAAACTGGCCTTTACATGTTAAGAGGGGGTTTAATGGATTGGGGGTATGTGTTGGTGTACCTTCTGAATTCTTGTCTTTGGATTTGCGGGACTGTGTTTTGGTTGCTCAATTATTGCAGTTATCCCGACCAAAGTGATATCTAGACAGATTTTTGCATAAGCCAGGTTCATATTTTTATGAAAATTTGTTGTTGCAATACTTGGTGCTTCATCAAAGCTTGGGTTCTCTTTTAGTTTCAGCAATTTATTAAAATCTTATGACGCCATCAATGATTTTTTAATAAACCTATCCTTTGACACTTATTTCATTTGCTGTCCCTCTGTTTTCATTTAGTTTAAAGAAATTAGTCCTTTTAACATAAATTTTAGGTGCACAAATTGATTGAATGTATTCATTGCTAATGGAAACATGCTAATTTTACCACTGAATGCATTTCAGCCCCAAAATGGGTATTTTGCATCATAGTCTGTTATTTTCTAAGCTTATAAACCGTTTTCTTGTTGCAGCATTCCATTCTCTACTGAGGATATAGACATGGCAATTCCTGTAATAGATCCTTCCAGCGTTGAACTCCCAAAGTTGTTGACAGAACATCCTTGTGCTCAGTTTCTGGTCCTATGTCAAACGTAAATGATTAGTCTTGTAGCTGCAAAAGAACCGCAAAATTAACCTTGGAAGTCTAGCTTGTTGTGGAGGTTTGAAGACCATTTTATTTGGTTTCTACAGGAAGACAACTTTGAGTAGTGACCATCAAAATGTCAGTATATTGATTTTATATACTGCCCATTTGCTGGATAGATACTTCTGTTTGGATATTGGGGATCCAATTGGCGTTATTTAATGGATAGATACATTATTTTCAGATCTAGTCAGCTTTACATGGTCGGTGATCATCATAGGTTAAGGATGCTTCTATTTTTTGTGTGAAGCTCATTCTTTCTTTGTACATGTTTTCACTTCTGAATGGCGTCCTGTTGTATTATGATTATGATTTTTTTTCCCTTCCTAATTTGGAATCTGTATATATAGAATTACATATTTAGTTCATTCAGGTTCCTACTTCGGAGCTTAGCTACTGATTAGCTTATTTTTTTCTTAACAGCAGCATTAGTTCATAAAAGTAAACACACACCAATTTGAGAAGGAGTTGAAGCTTTCCTGTTGCTTTCACCCCTCCTACGCTCTGTATATTTTGTAAGGAGTTGAAGCTTTCCTGTTGGTTTCACCCCTCCTACGCTCTGTATATTTTCCACCATTTTTACCGTTCAAGGTGACCACTGTTTGGTTTAGTTGACTCCTATTCGCTGCAGGTATCGCATTGGTGCCAATCGCCCTTCATGCCAGTAAAGATCATTTCTCGTTTGTATTGAATGAAAGGCCTTCAGGGGCAGGATTGCCGTGCTGTGTAGCTGAAGAAAGAATAGCTTCAAGAGGGAGACTTCGAAGTTGAATTTGAATCCAGATGTCTAAACCCAGCACACACTGGAATTTGCTTGGTTCCTGATCAGCCAAATCGAAACCATAGAAATCAACAAGATTTGCAGACACGCATCAAACCTTGCAATCGCGAGGCTGCCACCGAAAATCCTCGTCGATTTCCACTTTTATAGACCCGCTTGTTCTCAAAGGTAGGCCATTCATTTGAGTTCATGATCCTTTGTGGGACCTATCGATTCTTTTAACCCAGGGCTGGTCCGATGGTTCAATTTTCGAAATATATTTTACAAATTGATTGCAAATGAAAATATTGAAATAAATGATAAAAAAAACTTGAGATTAATTACCTTCATCGGTAAACGAAAAATAAGTAAAGTTTCTTTGTCTACGCAGTTCAATCATAGAAAATAAATTAAATTTGAGGGAAGTCATGATAACATGAAGTCCTGAAAGAAAAACCCCATCATCATTGACAGTTTGTTTTTCTATCAATTTATTCTAAAATCCTTCTCTACAGGGGAGCTTTACTCAAAGTGAAAAATGAGTCACTAAAATACCATTCACCTGACTTTGGATGGTGTTGGGTGAAAGGGTAAAATGAGTCATTAAAATGGAGTCATGGAAATAATTATTACAAGATTCATCTTCAATGGTGTAAAAATTAGTGTTTAATGATGTGATGTTTAGTGTGTTAATAAATTGAGATGTAAAAAGTTAGTAGAAAGAGAGAGAGAAAAACTATCAGTTTTCATCTTTTAGTTTTATTAATCGTGTTAGTAGACCTTGTAAAAACCATTTAGTGCATTAATAAATTCAAATGTAAATACTTTTTCAAACTCTAATATCATTTGATGCAAGAACTAAAGTTGGAAGGTGAAGTCTTACTTCTAAAACAAAAAGTTTGAGATTAGTTCTTGATTGAGATTCTCAAGTTGATTCATGGCATGTAAGAAAAGCATGGGAGAAAGATTTTAAGTGAACTCAGTAGCTTGACGTGTGGCTTAAAGAATAATTATTGTTAACCCTTACTGTTTATCTTCAGTTCAATTCCTAAATTATTATTATCCAGACATTATTTATGTTTTTAATACCTAATTATTTTGTTTACTGAAACTAGCTTCTATATAAGTAAAATTGCTACATGTATAATTGGGGTCAGTATTTCATTGCGTACACACTTACATTTCATTATAAATTTGTATAATAAAATGACCATTTTACTATTTTAAAATAAAACTAAATAACTTGACTTGAGGGATAACACAATCTTAGTCTTTTTAACAAAATCAATTTATAATTACCAAATTGATAAGACGCATCTCATTTATCTTGTATTTTCATTTGATTGCATAATACAATTACTAAGAAGATCTTAAAAGCAAAATTCATTTAAGGGCTTTTTTAGAAGTTCATTTTAACTTCAAAATTAAAAAGACTGAATTATTTTTAAAATCAATTTTCTTAGGCTTTTGTCTAAGGTTTTTTTTGTTATTTTATTTTATTTTAATTATCAAGTGGACTAATAAGTAATTCAGTATTTTAAAAACTATTAAATATTATTTAATTGACGTGTGACACTAGCATGTAAGATATTTATGCTTTTTAGACAATACATTTAGAGCTTTTCTATAACCAACAACATCCAATTACCATGTCATTCAAAAAGTTAAGAAGCGGTGCCATTTTATAAGCAACACATCCTATAAGGAGGCACATATACAGTTATTTGTGGTGATTTGAGGATTAAGTTTATTCTTTTTTTTTTCTTTTTCTTCTCATTGAAAATTAAATTAACTAAGTTAAAATTTAAAATTTTCCTTTCATTTTTGTTTTTATTTCAATTGGGGTCCTTATTTTTTTATTGTTCTTTATTTGATTGATTTTCTTTCAATTTTATTCCTTAACATTTGATTTTATTTGATTTTTATATCAAATTTAGTTTTTATTCTTTTGATTAATATTTTTTATATCATTTTTTTAATTATTTATTTTATTTTAATTTTATTTTTGTGTGAGATTTAATCCTTTTTTTTTTTGCTTTGGTTTCTTTTTAAAAAATATTTTTTTTTCAATTTCATCTTTTAACATTGAATTGATTGAGAATTAGACTTTGTAATTTTTTTGGTGTCATGATCCCAATCTCATAACCTGGATTACGAGTATGAAATGTTAACTTGAATTGATCTTTTTTAAAATTATTTTTACACCAATTTTAATTTTTAATCTCATCCTTTTATATGGATTTATTAAAGATTAAGCTTTTTTATTTGCTTTATATGAGGAAAACCCAATTTCATAATTTAGGTTGTGAATTTGACATGTTAACTAAAATTGATTTAATATTTTTAAATCATTTTATTTTATTTTTATATCAAATTTAATCTTCTTTCTTTTAATTTCTTTTTCTTTTTTGTTGTTTTGGATTCTTTTTTTAATTCTATACTTCAACATTAGATTGTTTAATAATTGAATTTTATAATTTTTTCAGTGTGATTATCCTGTTTCATGACTTGGATAATGAGCATGATATATTAACTTAAATTGTTATTGGTATTTTTTTAATTATTTTTACTCCCTGGTCACCAGTATGATATGTTAAACCGGATTGTTATTGGTCATTTTAAAAAAAAAATTACACTAATTTTCTTTTAATTTCATCCATCAACCTTGAGTTTATTGAAGATAAAGCTTTCTTTATTTTTATTTTCACATTTCATTATATAAGGATAACATGATCTCATGAATTTAACATGCTAACTCGGATTGACTTGTGGATTTTACAATGTTTTATCACATTTTATTTTTATATCAAATTTGATCATTATTTTTTTTTGGATTTTTTTAGATTAATCTTTTTTTTTTAATTGCATCCTTCAAAATTGAATTATTAAGAATTATGCTTTATAATTTTTTTTGATACTATAATCCCAGTTTCATGACCTGGATCACATATATAAAATGTTATCCCGAATTGATATCAATATTTTTTACACCATTTTTTTTATTGAAGGCTTTAGCATCAAGTTTATTAAAGATCAAGTTTTTTAATTTTTTTTATTTACTTTCTATAAAAATAATTTGGCTTCACAACTCGGGTCACCAGGTTGCCATGAAAAGTTGGATTAACTTTAGGTCTTTTTTTTTTTTTCAATTTCATTCTTTAACATTTTTTATCTTATAATTCAGTTTGATAATTTTATTTTTTTTACAAGAGTTCTTTTATACATGTCATTGTTATCATTTTTTCTCTTTAGATTTAGCATATTTACTATCATTGCTTCTTCGAGTTTTTTTTTTAATTTTTTGTGATATAATAAAATTAAACCATCTTATTAGACCAGTAGGGTCTATAAATCAATTCGCATGATTTTTTTTTCTTTTTAAAACACCCTAATTGAACATTTTTTTAAGTTACAAAACAAACAAACTTGATAAGCAGCGAAATGCAAATCACCTATCTGCTATATAATTATTTTCAATTTGAAGAGCAACTCATATCTGTACAAGTTTTACAAATTTCATTATTAAGACAAGTATACAATTTTTTATTTTTTTATTTTTAGTTGATAAATTAAATTTATTTTCTTACACACACGCTGCATTTGACAAGTTCACTTAAAATTCTTTTTGGTGCCAACAGCATTATTGTCTTTGATGATTTCTGCCAATCTTCAAATATTAAATTAAATCTAAGTATATTTTTATATAAACATGCAGTGAGTATTAATTTTTTGAAAAGTTTTTAGGATATAAAGCTATAAAATCAAGCATAATTCTAATTCCAAGGGATTGGTTCGGTGGTTAAAAAGATATGTTTCTTAATTATTTTCTTCAAACCTTAGGGACAACAAGAATTTATTAAATTTTTCTGAATATATTAAGCCGAAATAGAGAAGCAGACTTCGGATTACTAAAAAAAAAAAAAGACTTAATTTTTTTTTTTGAATGTACTGGATTGAAATGAGAATTTACTCTTAAAATCACTAAAAATGAATCTCAGTTAACGTATAAGTATGATAATACTATAATTTGTTTCATCCGTTTTTACTGTAATTTGTTAAATAGGATATCTCTACATTTTGAGAAGAATCGAATGAGCCAACCTTGAAAAGTAGCTTAGTTCAAGTTTTGAATTTATGAGTTTGAGTTATGATTATTAGAGATTTACATAATTATTAATTTTAAAATTTATAAAATTAATTAAAATATAACTTAAACTACTTGAACATCCACGTTAATTAAAAAAAAAAAAATCAAATGAGCCGCTCATCCAAGATGATGAATGGCTTGATCGCTGGTGATGATCCTGGAGATTTATTTCAGATATGGAACGGGTGTGCGCCGCGCTGCCTCTTAGATTTTGTCAGACGGAAAATAATGGAGTTTATTTTGTAAGAATTAAGGAGAATTATACAATTAATTAATAACAAATTCGTGTTATTATATTATGTGGAGGCACGCATATGAACTGTCAAGCCAAGAATAACCCTGCAAGTTGCATGCCCGGCCTTGAGCATGCCATGCTTGCGTGGGGTCAACTTGTGTAGCTTTCCAAAACCAAGACAATATTCATATGGTTAAGTCTAACCACATATGGGTGGCTACTGGCTAGCA